TTTACATAAAGCGCATTTCCACTTGCATTCATTAATTAATTATTTAATTTATGTGTCCCCTTCTCTTTAATCATCTAGCATGAAGGTACACTGCCTTATAACCGAACTGTTTACTAAGCTATTACGGTTTTTAAAAAATGCGTTTTATCTGCACAAGATTTGTGCCAATTTATGCTTGTTATTTGAATGTATGCATGTTTTGTTGAATGAAAAAACTGTTCGGCATTGTTCTTAAATCACAGAGTGTACACACCAAATTTCTGGAAGGTCTAATCATTCTTTCCCACTTAGAATTACAGTTGGAATTTCTGTCTCACTTTTTAAAAGGTACATATTGTCATTAATGCCATCTTATTTATTATGGTTACTGGGAAAAAATTTAAAAAGAAACACATTTTGGGACTTGGAAAATGAAAAATGTGTCCAATAGGTATTTTCGCACGATTAGAGCGTTGTGTGCGGGTGCACCATCCTGTTGAAACCAACAGTTTCCAACTATTGATTTTTTTGTGCCGTACCTATATATGTATTCGTAATTGTTTTGGTTCATTTCTTTCTTCTACAATGGACATCCCAAGGACAGTGTTTCTTTTTAGCGCATTTCCACAAAAATAAAAAAATGCGCTATTGTGGCCACGCATTTTTTAAAAACCGTAATAGCTTAGTAAACAGTTCGGTTATAAGGCAGTGTACCTTCATGCTAGATGATTAAAGAGAAGGGGACACATAAATTAAATAATTAATTAATTAATGCAAGTGGAAATGCGCTTTATGTAAATCGTTTACGATTACTTTTTAACTTGTTTAAATGTTTTCTCTAATGATAAGGTAATAAGATAATCTTATAATTAGAGAAAAAATTGAAAAAAGAAACACCGTCAAGTCATTGGCAGTACCTACCATTAGTCTGTAAAAATCAGTTTCATTCATCCAACCGTAACCTAGTTATATCTGTAGGCAGTTCGTGAAAAACCCACTAAGAATTGTTTTTTTACGAAGTTATCAAAAGTTCGCGATTTTTAAAAATATTTTTTAAGAGCTATTATCATCGTTTTCATTTGGTGTAGGTATAACTTATTTTCTCAAAAAACAATCATTTAAAATTGGCACCGCAAGAAGTACCGTCATATGATCTGAGGCGGCAGACGATCGATTTTAGCATACTCTAATAGGCCAAAGTGGAAATGGTCCTCATGGTTTAGTTCATGGCAATTTGGGTGAATGCCACCGAAAAATGTCTGACCTTCTACAATCCGTCTGATTGAAGTGAGTGGAACTATGTGAATGAGAAGTTTAGAATCAAATGGTTTGAAGGATCTCAGTAGTCAGTATCCTATCGCTATCTCTGTTCGTTATGCTCCCGTGCACTTATCTCTCACACGCTCGCACTCGCTGGGATTTACTATACCTAAATTTCTGCCACTGTTAAAGCTACACTTAAAATATCGTCTGCCAGGATACATTTTAAGTAGTGACAAAAAGAGGAACTTTTTTATGTATAATTGTTATACGGTCCTCATGGTTTAGTTCACGAGTGTTTTTCCCTACATTGAAGGGCGTCTGTCGCCACCAACGCTGCACTTGAAATCGCTGCCATAGCATATTCGAAAACTATTGGAAAAATGGTGTTACTTGATATAAATGTTTCCGTGACCCTTATAGTTTAGTAATTTAGTTGATCACCTAAAGAAGACACACATTCAGCACCGCCCCAAATTAATGCTGCCACTTACGGCTAGAGACGGGGACTTGATTACTAGTTTTCAACGTACTTTCAGCCTGCGTTGGCGAATATTAAGTTAGTTCATGGTTCAGTTAGTATGTACGCTGCCTCCCGGTCTAAATTCTTCACTATTGGATTTTTTAATTTATACATGTCCAAAGATCAGTGCTATTACGATGTAATGTTCCTTTACCTCTTTCAGAAATGGGTAGATTACAAATTAAGGTGGGACCCAGAAGAGTACGGGGGCGTGGAGCAACTCTACGTTCCATCCGAACACATTTGGCTTCCAGATATCGTTCTTTTCAACAAGTAAGTTACTTTTACTGAGTGCGCCAAAAGTTGTGTGCTATACAATCTACCGCAGAAGTAGGTAATTACCTACATTATAACCACAGCTTACTTACTATCATAACATTACAATTTTCTTTACAGCGCTGATGGAAATTACGAAGTTACGCTTATGACTAAAGCTGTTTTATCATACACAGGGGAAGTGGTGTGGAAACCACCCTCTATTTATAAATCATCGTGCGAAATCAATGTGCAATATTTTCCTTTTGACGAACAGAGCTGTTTGATGAAGTTTGGATCCTGGACCTATAACGGATATCAGGTAAATATGTTAAGTGATAATTAACAAGACATTCAGCCCTGTGATGTATTTTATTTTGTTTTATTTAGGATGGACAACATAACATTTTCTACAGATAATTTGAGTCTGTTAACAAATGGCCGTCAAAACTTTATTTTGAGATATTTTGAGTTCAATATTATTGGTAAATGCTGAAATATCCACAAAGGAAGAAAAAATGTTGATTTTATACCTTCTCATTCAGATATAGGGTTAGGGTTTAATTGTTTGACATGTCTTATATTATATTACAAAATTGTAATCGACTGGGCGAATAAAGTAATTTGAATTTGAATTTGCGTTGTAACGAAAATGGAACGCACCTTCGCAGCACAGACAAGGGGACTTTCTAACAAAATTTTCTACGTCCCTCAGTGTTGAACCTCGAACAGACTCATAAAATGTACACTGAGATATTTGCTCTATTGGTTGTGAGAAAGATGCGATAAAAATAAAACCAAGGGTGTTAGTAATAATTTTTAAATCTAAAACGCAGAAAGTTAAATGTACCTAAATGTGGTTCACAGAAGTTTTTTTGATTTTTGTGTTAATTGGACATTTTCACTATAAATTATAGCCGAATCTCTATTTTGATTTCACCATTCTCACGCTTAGTTTGACGTTTTGGAAATCATGCGGTCGGAATATTTAAGTTTCGACATTAAATTTTCACACGAAATTCGCCCAGATTACGAAATGCAACACTTAAAGATTAAACTTGTCACCAATTTATCTTGAGATGCCTGGTTTCTGTTTTGCTCTTGTTTAGTTTGCTTGATGAGGGTTCGACGTATCACACAAACAAGCTTATTCCTCATTCAGATGTAACATTAATATGCAATGACGGAATTATTATGAGATTATATTAAATGTGAAATTGCGTGTAGTACCTACCTATACACTAATGCAAATCGACAGTTCTGCTTCTGGACCACTTCTCCTTGAAACCTTCAATTTTTCATAACCCAAAGCCACATAATTTATATACCTACCTATAGTCACCGTGTTTTCCTTTAATTCTTCTATTTCTTTGTAACAATAACTCCGTGATTTCAGGAAAATGATTAAGTTCATAAAAAGCGAAATTACTGCTTTTATCGGATAAAAATACCTCCTCCCCAGACATTCCTCACCCTTAATACGTCGTAAAATAATAAAGAAAGTATATAACCCCTTTATTAGCTTTCGTTTATTATATTGCTAAGCCACATAGAGTTATAAAAGTGAACGTGAAAGGAAAAAAGTTATCGGAGTGAGAAAAGTCAAATTACCTACTCTTGTAAGACCGTATATTTTATGTCAAACAAACAAAATGGAAAACCCAATATCGTACTTACAAATTTTCTTATTCGTTGTCATCTTTTTTATTACAACATAAAAAAATCTGTGTGTTTTCTATTCAGGTTGACCTCAAGCATATGGATCAAGTGCCAGGATCAAATATAGTAAAAGTGGGAATAGACTTATCCGAATTTTATCTTTCCGTAGAATGGGATTTATTGGCCGTTCCAGCAACGAGAAATGAGGAATATTATCCTTGCTGTTCGGAACCATATTCAGGTAGATAAACCATTCTCATATATTTTTATCTAAATAAAAGCTCTAAACTTTGATAGAAGGATCGTATAGTGACGTAGGAAATGAAAAACTTTACCGAGATACATTTAGTCAGCTCCTGCGCCAGTTGTATATAATAGAAATTTAAAAACCGAAAACATTTTGTCATAGCTGCTGTTGACACATCAATATTCACTCTCCACATTATGCATTACCTACAATTTTGCTCTATTTTTCTTCATGCTGTGCGGTGCGTTACTGTGTTAAATCGAGTTCGATACGCCCCACTAATATAATTAATAAACGGTGTACTACTCAAACCAGTATCTCTAGTATTTTTTTCATTGATATGCTTGAACAAAATTCGTTCGTCCATTTTTAATCAGTTTACTATATAAATCAGGAAAAGTTAGCAAAAGGGCTTGAAGACATCAAATTTGTATTGAAGAGGGACTAAGTTCAAATTTACTCCCCACCCATCCCCTTGATAAATTTATGTGGCAGGATAGGTCGTTGATGCAAAGCTAATTCAATTCCCGAATAAAATACAATATTAATTAATAATATACTTGTCATTTTTATTAGAGATGCGCGCACTGGTTGTCGCAAAATCACTTATACCAAATAAACTACAAGATTTCGCAATTGATCCTTGTATTTCGTATTAACATGATTCAAGGATTAACATAGGCTAGTTAAAGGTCTAGTTCTAACTTCTAACCCGTCGTAATACAGGAGCATATTGTAAACAGTAACTCTGCGAGACAAAGACGTTCAAACCTCTTTTAGGGAGACCAATCTTACAACAAAGTGATATAGTGGGATTTTCCTTAGTTTGCGCACATGTCATAGGTATATTATGACGTTATCACTAAGTATGTTTACATAGCATCATGCAATCAATGATACCCATTACATCAACGACTTCTATCGACCAATTACTAAAAACATGTTTCGGTAGTTATTTCTAACAGGCTGTCTATTTCGTGATCTTTCACTAACGAGGTGGACATTACTATTTGGACGTAAAGGAAAAATAAAAAAAAATTATTTTAATTGTTTTTTCGTAATAACAACACCCACACTACTTGAGAAGCGACTGCAATCTTGAGTTATCCCATACTCACGAGCAGAGTCACCGTTACTTTCATACCAAAACGGCAGACGTTTCTGCGGCACTTTCGAAACTGTGTAGCAGTCAGTGTTAAAATTGGGGTTTTATATACACAAATGGAAAAGGAAATTGAACCAAAAGTCGCATTTTGTGCGTAAGACGAGAACATATAAAATATATTGCGGACACAACCAGGCGTTGTTGGGTAAACCCTCAGGACAAAAGTCCACACGAACTAAATTAACAAAGACAATAAAAGCAAAATAAAATCCACAAAACATTCCAAATTGTGTGACAATAAAAATCAGGTCACGAATTTCAAGATTTTAGGTACGTTTTATTCTAGGTTTTATTTTTTTCAAAAACATCAACGTGCATCCTTCCAGTTGGTTGGTCCTATTTTCGTCCTGGTAAAAATCGAACCTCAACCTTTTTGCCGAAGACGCGTTCGTTTCGGATCTCTCCATGAATTATAAAACACTGCAGGGGCCTTTCTTAAGCCATTCGACAATGGGGCAAGCTACGACCCAGGTAATTGTTTATAAATACCTTGATTGTTTATGCACTAGGAGTTCTCGATGTGCTTTCGTGGATGATTCAATGCGAAGTGGTCTGGATCTGCCACCAGAACTTGGATGTAGTTGCACGCGCACGGTCTGACCAAAATTTAAGCGTGGCTTCTCGTTGATCCGATGTGGGAATGAAATTGACTTCCTAGGTGGGCACGGCGCGTAGCTCTTTAATCGGCTTTTGTAAATTTTACTTCCATACTGAATAGATGTATTTAAACGAACTCTCCTTGCGATTAGTTTATCCTAATGACTCATTCCGAATATACATACGTAAAGCAGTATTTATGATCCTATTCTATAACACGTGAAATAAAATTGCATTTCTAGCCGCGCTGTTACTTTATATTGCTAATTCCCTTTTAGCTTCCTCACGGTTAAATAACATCTCAATTCTGGTCATGATAAATAAAACTATTATAACTTCCTTTCAATGCTAAGACACAGACATTCTTACTTTACCACCTTAAATATAGCCTATGAATCCTTATCATTTTAAAAATCCCTATACAAATTTCCGTGCATACTGATAGAAGATATGACCAGACGAGGCGAAGAGATATACCCAACAGTAAAATACCGATCATCCGCACCGAGTTGACAGTCCCGACATGTCACGGGCATGAGGGGCATTATTTTCTCAAGAACATAAAGGGGTTTACGGTGTTGTAGTTCATACCAGGCGCATATTAGATTATTACTGGTCTTGTGTATTAACAAATGTGTCTTAAAATTGGGATTGGTAACAAAATCACACCGGTCACATTTTAAATCATTGGCAGGGCCATGTCTTCACAATTGTTAGATCTTAAGATGTGCTTTGAGACTGAGTTTATGTTTGGTGGCGAAAGCGCACTGGAACAGTTTAAATCTTTGTTTATCTTGTATGTTAATAAATGTGTTTTATAATTAGATTTATCATTGGTTGCATAGTTACACTGGACACATTTGAAATTCTTGGTAGTCTCGTGTGTTAAAATACTGTTGCGGGTATGCGGTGTTCTACTTGTTCTACTACAGTGCAATGTAGGTATATCTCTGTGGTAAATATGTTGGCGCAGATGCTGCTTATTGAAAAAGGGAGACTATATCTATGTATACACTGTGTCCAAGATAAGGATGTCTACCATGGGGATCTCCGCAACCATAGAAAATACGACGATGGTGAAATTAGGGAAAAGTTGCGCAATTACACAATTGCACTGTGTATATGTGCACCTGTACTCTATAACGTGCAATAAAGGGGATATGACCTTGGTAGTCGAACCCTATATTTAAAAATTAGAACAATTAGAAAACCAAAAAATTCCGATTACGTCCGAAGATATGCCAGAAAATCGAAAGTTTCTGGGTTTTTTTAATGCTATTTGAAGAGATACCAAAAGAATAGAAAACCGTTTTTGAGCCACATATACAAGACACCGATGGGAGATTTTCAATTTCGCAGAAATCATCAGCTTTATTCTTTTATATGGACCGTAGAAAAAATACATACTGTATTGAAGAACATTTTTTATTACGAATTCAACGATATGTGTTACACACAAGAAAAACGAAAGTTGGAAACTGTAGGTTTCAACAGTATGGTGCACACGCGCATAACGCTCTAATCGTGCCAGAATAATCCGACAAATGTCCTAGAAAATGAAAAAGTTATCCCATAGGTATTCTGGCACGATTAGAGAGTTGTGCGTGGGTGTACAATTGTACAGAATTTTGCTTTTCGGGAAATCGGTACACGAAGAAAGATTGTTTTTAAATAAGACCTAATATACCTAATTTTATCGCCCAGTTACATCCAGGGGCGGACTGGGTACTTACGGGTCAGGTGGAATTGCAAAGGTTACGGGCCATTAAAGTATTAGTGTAATGAAAATAAGGGGGGGGGGGGGGAGCTCTACGGTGCACACAAAAATATTTTTTGCATCATTTTAAAGTACTTATTGCTTTCTCGAAAATCAATTAGAATATAGTTTTTTTTTAATTGCAGCTGATAATTAAAAATAACAAAATATACATAATCCAAACGAGGCGCGTCGCCTATAATTATGTTCCAGCACTTTCAAAATACGACAGATTTTTTTAATGAACAACATATAACATCAACTCCAATGAGAGAAGCGTGTTAATAATTTATTAATAGTGTAAGAAACTAAATACAGCACATACTTATAAATTTCCAATGGGCCATTATGACCTACAGGCCAGGTGGCAATAGCCACACCCCCCCCCCCCCCGGGCCAGTCCGCATCTACAAAATATAATACTGGAAAGCAGGAGAAGGATTTCGTCTTAATAAACACGGATCATTGAACAAACAGAATCCAAACAAAAGCCCCTTTAATAAAACCATGTAAGTAGTAAGTACACATATACCGATTCCCTCGGCACCTATGATGTAATTCAAATTAATTATCTAAGTGTACCTAATGTAATATTATAGGTATATCTGAATTATACGTGTGAATTATATGTGACAGTAGGTACAATAAATGAGGCGGTGGTGGCACATAACAAAATTAGATCTATGTCTATGAACAACAAAGAAGTGATCTATCTCACGGTCTATTTGTTGATTCACTCAGTAAGTTTGAAATAGAAGTTATAAGTGAAATATAGCAAGCGTTTGTTCAGGACCGAAATTTCTATTATGGCTAACATTAGCACATACGGTTGCAGAAACTTTGTAATTATACCTGATGTATTTGTTGCAGATATTACATTCAAAATAACAATGAGAAGGAAAACCCTGTTTTATACGGTGAATTTAATCATTCCATGCGTTGGGATAACATTCCTAACGGTGTTAGTATTTTACCTACCGTCGGACTCTGGAGAGAAGGTGACGCTTTGCGTTTCAATTTTGATATCGCTTACCGTATTTTTTCTTCTGCTCGCCGAAATTATACCTCCGACGTCTTTGGCAGTGCCGCTTCTTGGCAAATACCTGCTTTATACCATGATTATCGTGACATCTTCTATATGGGTGACGGTCTGCGTGCTAAATGTTCATTTTAGGTAAGTAATCATAATCACGAATACCCACGGCAGGAAATTATATTAGATTTCCTGCAGACTATGTTTTTAAATCATAAAGACGATCGAATTCATTCGTAATGTGATGAAAATATGCTTATAATAACCAGTTTAATGGATGAATAGCCTTCATGTTTGCGATTTAATTAATACTATTTTCACTTTATATTCAAACGAGCTCTAACAAATTACTTTTAACGGCAGATTGCGTGATTCTGTTTTATTTATTCTGCTATGAAGAATTGATTTTATAATTGTAGATAGATAATGGGTGGAGGAGTTACTTGATTTTAGTTGAATTTGTAGGATGATCGTTTATTTGGAGGGAACAATAACCAAGTACTTAAAAATTATAGTAATTTTAATTGAATTTTAGGACGTACCTACAAAATATATATAAGAATATGGGTGGGAACTTAAATCTGAGAGGTATAATATAATTAACCCCATTCTGACAACCAGATACCCGGACTTTCATAAAATATAACTGCAATTTGTTTTAGTTCGTCGAAAACAGGTTGTTTGTATTATATTTTTAATTTGCAAATCCAAAAATATCTACAAAGCAATAACAATAATTACTTTTTGGATGTAAAACGTGGCGGTGTTCCTGGCAAAAAAATTAAGTGACATGCTTGCTCAATTGTAGAATTATAGTGGAAAAGTGTCTGTTAATAAATACACTTCACATGACACACAAAAAGATGAGCATAGCACAGCGATGAAGACCTCTATAAGTTATTAAATTTATTACTTATTGAGAAAAATCAAAATAAATCATTTTCAGAAGATTCAGTTCGAGCATGAACAAGAAGATGTCTACTTACTCGAGTTGAAGTGAATAAAAGCATTGCTTGAAAGAGGGGCGTGCAACGTCATACATTTTTAGCGCATTTCCACAAAAATAAAAAAAAATGCGCTATTGTGGCCACTTTGTCCGTCCGTCCGTCCGTCCGCTAACTTTGCGACGCTACTAGTTTTTTTATCTTAAGAGCTATTGTTCTACTTTTTTCGCTATTTGGTTCGTTATGGTGTCGAGTCTTGTACCAAGGAAGGAATTTTTTCTGTACCGCTTACAAAAAAAGTTATTGTAAAAAAAACAAAAAACCGTTTTTTACATGTTCCATAATTTTACACTTTTGCCGTTTATTAACGATCCTAGAGATCGTTTATAATTTTGCATTGCTATCTGTCGCCTGCCGGTTGGTCTCTCCGTCTGTTCCTTTGTCTGTCTGTCCATCTATCTGTCCGTGTGAACGATAACTTTGTTTAGAAATGTTCGATCGCTTTTACATCTCCGTTAGTTATGAACTGAATTGCATGAAATTCAATATGGGCATAGCTTTAGCCATATAATACGCAATGCCAAAAGTTGAATCGAATCGATTCAAAATTCACAGTGCCCTTTTCGCATCTCGACCATTTATAAACCGAATTGCAAACTTTTTTACTTATAAAAGTATTTGAATGAAATTTGATACATAGGCACTTGGAATAAAGGAAAATCAAACGCCAATTTCAAAATTTGGTTTTGCGCATGCGCAGTGCCAACTTTTTTATTTATGGAAGAATTTAAACGAAATTTGATACATAAGCACTTCGAATAAAGGAAAATCAAACGCCAATTTCAAAATTTGGTTTTGCGCATGCGCAGTGCCAACTTTTTTATTTATGGAAGAATTTAAACGAAATTTGATACATAGGCACTTGGGATAAAGGAAAATCAAACGCCAATTTCAAAATTTGGTTTTGCGCATGCGCAGTGCCAACTTTTTTATTTATGGAAGAATTTAAACGAAATTTGATACATAGGCACTTGGGATAAAGGAAAATCAAACGCCAATTTCAAAATTTGGTTTTGCGCATGCGCAGTGCCAACTTTTTTATTTATGGAAGAATTTAAACGAAATTTGATACATAGGCACTTGGGATAAAGGAAAATCAAACGCCAATTTCAAAATTTGGTTTTGCGCATGCGCAGCGCCAACTTTTTTATTTATGGAAGAATTTAAACGAAATTTGATACATAGGCACTTGGGATAAAGGAAAATCAAACGCCAATTTCAAAATTTGGTTTTGCGCATGCGCAGTGCCAAGTTTTTTATTTATGGAAGAATTTAAACGAAATTTGATACATAAGCACTTCGAATAAAGGAAAATCCAACGCCAATTTCAAAATTTGATTTTGCGCATGCGCAGTGCCAACTTTTTTATTTATGGAAGAATTTAAATGAAATGTGATACATAGGCACTTGGAATAAAGGAAAATCTAGCGCCAGTTTCAAAATTTTATCTTGCGCATGCGCCGTGCCAACTTTTTTATCTATGGAACTATTTAAGTGAAATTTGATACTTAGGCGCTTGGAACAAAGGAAAATCTAACATTAGTTTTAAAATTTAGGTTTGCGCATGCGCAGTTGCAACTTTCTTATTTAGAAAAGCATTGAAATGAAATTTGATACATGAAGCACTTCGAATAAAGGAAATCAACGCCCATTTCTAAATGTTGTTTTGCGCATGCAGCAGTGCCAACTTCTTTTAATCTTATGGACAAGAATTTAAACGAATTTGATACATAGCACCTGGGATAAAAGAAAATCAAACAGCTTTCAATTTCAAATTTGGTTTTGCGCATGCGCAGTGCCCACACTTTTTTATTATGGACGAATTTAAACGAAATTTGATACAGAAGCACTTGCAATAAAGAAAATCAAAACGCCAATTTCAAAATTTGGTTTGCGCATCGCCAGTGCCAACGTTTTTATTTATGGAAGAATTTAACGAAAATTTGATACATAGGCACTTGGGATAAAAGAAAATCAACGCAATTTCAAAATTTGGTTTTGCGCATGCGCAGTGCCACTTTTTATTTATGGAAGAATTTAAACGAAATTTGATACCAGAAGCAACTTGAATAAGAAAAAATCAACGCAATTTTCAAAATTTGGTTTTTGCGCATGCGCAGCTGCCACTTTTTATTTATGGAAGATTTTAAACGAACCCATTTTGAATCAGAAGCATTGAATAAAGGAAAAATCAAGACGCCAATTCAAAATTTTGTGGTTTGCGCATGCGGCAAGTGGCCAACGTTTTATTATGGAAGAATTTAAACGAAATTTGATACATAGGCACTTTGCGTAATAAGGAACAAGACGCCAAAATTTCCCAAATTTGGTTTTTGCGCATGCGCAGGCCAAACTTTTTTTATTTAATGGAAGAATTTAAATGAAAATGTGATACTAGGCACTTGGAATAAAGGAAAATCTAGCGCAGTCTCAAAATTTTATTTTGCGCATGCGCCGATGCCAACTTTTTTAATTTATCGGAAGAAATTTAAACGAAATTTGATACATAGGCACTTGGGATAAAATAAGACAAGTCAACGCCAATTCAAAATTTGGTTTGCGCATGCGCAGTGCCAAGTTTTTTATTATAGGAAGAATTTAAAACGAAATTTGATACAGAAGCACTCCGAATAAAGGAAAATCAAACGCCAATTTCAAATTTGATTTTTGGCGCATGCGCAGTGCCAACTTTTTTATTTATCGGAAGAATTTTAACGAAAATTTTGATACATAGGCACTTGGTAATCAAAGAAAATAAAACGCCAATTTCAAAATTTGGTTTTGCGCATGCCGCGTCGCCACTTTTTTATTTATGGAAGAATTTACATGAAATGTGATCATAGGCACTTGGAATAAAGGAAATCTACAGCGCGCCAGTTTCACAAATTTATTTTGCGCATGCGCCGTGCAAACTTTTTAATTATGGAAGAATTTAAACCGAAATTTGATACATAGGCAATTGGATAAACGAAAACATCCAACGCCAATTTCAAAATTTGGTTTTCGCAATGCGCAGTGCCAAGTTTTTTTTATTTATGGAAAGAATTTAAAACGAAATTTGAATACAGAAAGCACGTCCGAATAAAAGGAAAATCAAACGCTCAATTTCAAAATTTGGGTTTTGCGCATGCGCAGTGCCAACTTTTTTATTTATGGAGTAATTTTAAACGAAATTTGATACTAGGTTGGGATAAAAGAAATCAAACGCGCCCAATTTCAAAATTTGGTTTTGCGCATGCGCAGTGCAACTTTTTTATTTATGGAAGATTTAAACGAAATTTGAGTACAGAAGCACTTTCGAATAAAAGGAAAATCACCACGCCAATTTCAAAATTTTGGTTTAGCGCATGCGCAGTGCACGTTTTATTTATGGAACGAATTTAAACGAAATTGATACATATCAGGACACTTGGGATAAAAAGAAATCAAACGCCATGTTCAAATTGGTTTGCGGCATGCGCAGTGCCAACTTTTTATTTATGGAATGAATTTAAGTGAAGATCTGTGATACTTAGCGCTTGAAGAAAGAAAATCTAACATTCAGTTTTACCAATTGAGGTTTGCGCATGCGCAGTTCCACTTTCTTATTTAGAAAAGCATTGAAATGACATTCTTCTCTATACTTGAAATTGAAGTAGCACGTCACAATGGATGTGCCCAATGTGCAACTGCTATCTTCATAATTTGTGGCCGATTTCTACGATTTTAAACAGAAGTTTGCATCTTACAAATGGAAACGATGCAGTGGACAATGCGTTTATGTAAAGTCGTTTAACGATTACTTTTTAACTCTGTTTTCTCCTTGTGCCTGTAATTACTAGAACGTATATTAAACCGATACCCCTCGTTGGATTCGATAATTACCGCTAAATAATTTTTTATTTAAACTTTTTTTTAAATTCTGACATCGTCCTAAAGAGCAACTGGCCTTATAAACGATTTTAAAAAGTTACATTTTTGTAAAAACACTGTTTAAGCGAATGGGCTGAACGATTTATGTGTGCCGTTGTTGCCCGTATATGTGCAATATAAAATGCGCGGAGAAAAATCCTTATATTTTTATACCATTAAGGCTAACGACAACCAAAGCACCATTGTATAAGATAATTAAAAATAGGGACTTTTTGAACAAATTCCATTT